ATTCATATGAAATCATATTGTACACTGAAAATTAATACACTGTTATATGCCACATGTATCTTAATAAAATCTAAAACAAAAAAGCCAAAAAAAGAGAAAGTCTAGAAAAGAAAAACATAGCAACTGAAATTTAAAAATCTCAAAGGCAGTTTCAATAATAGAGTAGGCCTCAAATGAAAAGAAAGGAAATAGGAAAATAGGCTGAAAATCACCACCACACTCCCCCCTAAAAAAGATAGCACAAAAAGGCAAAGAAATAAAAACATGAGAGAAAAATTAAGAGACATGAAAGATAGCATGAGGCAATCCAATATGCATGTAATGGGACTTTAAGAGGCCAAAGAGTAGAATTTTAAAAGATAAAATGTCCAAGAATTTTCTAGAATTTAAGACACATGAGTTCTCAAAATGAAGGAGTAAACCACATTCTAAGCAAAATAAATAAAAATAAATCAGCTCCGAGACCAATATAATAAAAAATGAACAAAGAAGAAAAAATAACTCTAAAAAGAAAGGAAAGGCTGATTAACTAAAAAGGGTAACAACCAGACTAACAATTAACTTAGCAACAGCAGAGGTGAATTAAAAAAAGAAGAAAAAAGGGAAGAATAATTTCAAAGTGCTAAAGAAAATACTGTCCTAAATTCTATACACATTAAATTATCATTTAAGAGTTTATTCAGTGTAAAGACAGAAGTAATAACAATAAATATAAACAGATTACAATTTCTCTGTCTCTTTATGGGCAAATTTAGTTTTGGATCAAAAAATTAAATATGAAACTATTTCACAGGACACACATAGAAAATGTACTATCACAGACAGAACAAAAATAGAGACAGAAAAAGACATACTGGGAAAATAATAACCAAAACAACAGATAAATGCATACAGTAAGGAAGAAGGTACATAATATTGATATCAGATAAAGTAGAAATCAAAGCTAACAGCATAAAGTGGGACAAAAATAGAAAACTAGCATTTATAAAATATATACTCTATAGCATACAATCCAATAATAAACATCAATTTCTATTAATATATACTTCACAAAATGGATTATAAACAAAATAACCACACTGACAGAAACACAAGGAGAATCTATAAACACATTAGGAAATATTAATAGACTTTTTTCAAAGAAATAGATTAGACTATAATAAATAAGGTCGTATAATATTTGAGTAACAATACAAAAGCTTAATCTAAAACACAGAACTTTATGCAATCAAACAAAACAGAAATTCATATTTGTTTCAAATATATTTGTGGCATTCAAAAAAATCTGACCTTGTACTATACCAAAACAAAATCTAAACTATATTCCAGAGGTTTCCTTGATGGTTCAACGGTTAAGAATCTGCCTTGTTGGACATCCCTGGTGGTTCAGTGGTTAAAAATTTGCCTTGCACATGCACACATGGGTTCGATTCCTGGTCCAGGAAGATTCCACATGACACAGGACAAGTAGGCCCTTGTGCCACAACTAATGAGCCTGAGCTCTAGACCTTGCAAGCTACACTACTGAGCGCACCTGCTCTAGAGTCTCTGAACCAAATCAAGAAAAGACACTGAAAGAGAAGCCCACACACTGCAACTAGAGAAAGCCTGTCTGCAGCAATGAAGACCCTGCATAGCCAAAAATAAATAAATAACCAACTTTGTTTTTTAAAAAAAAAAAGGATATGCCTTGCAACGCAGACGACTCAGGTGCAATCCCTGGTCTCAGAACTAAGATTCCACATGCTGAGGATCAACTAAGTCCTGGTAGACCACAACTCCTGAGCTCTTGTGCCACAACTCAAGAGTCCCTGCACTGCAATGAAAGAGCCTGCATAATGCAATTAAGACCCAACACAGGACTTCCCTGGCAGTGCAGTGGATAAGAACCTGCCTGCCGGGCATTCCCTGGTGGACCAGTGGCTAAGACTCTGTGCTCCCAATGCAGGGGGCCTGGGTTCAATCCCTGGTCAGGGAACTAGATCCCACGTGCCACAATTAAGAGTTTACATGCCTCAACTAAAGATCCCACAGGACACAACAAAGGACAAAGATCTTGCATGCCACAACTAAGGCCTGACACAGCCAAATAAATATTAAAAAAAAAAAAAAAAAAGAATCTGCCTGCCAATGCAGGAAACATGGGTTTGATCCCTAGTCTAGGAAGATTCTACATGCTGTGGAGCAACTAAGCCCATGCACCACAACTGCTGAGCCCACGAGCCCTAGGGACTTCAAGCCACAACTACTGAGGGCCATGTGCGTAGAGTCTGAGCTCCGCAACAAGAGAAGCCGCCACAATGAGAAGCCTGTGCACCACAACAAACAGGAGTAGCCCCTGCTTGTCATAACTAGAAAAAGCCCACAGGCAGCAACAGAGCCAGAGCAACCAAAAAAATAAATACACGAAATAATTAAAAAGAAAGAGCCACCGGGATGGGGAATACATATAAAAAAAAAAAAAAAAAAAAGATACACTATGGTTGTGATAAAAAAAATAAATAAATAAATAAATAAATTTAAAAATAAAATTAAAAAAAAATTAAAAAAAAATAAACTATCTTCCCCTTAAAAATGTACTAACTTAGAATATAAAAGCTACGGTAAAAAATAAAGATTTGCCAGACTCTTAAAAAAAAAAAAAAAAAGAAAGAGCCAACACAGCCAAATAAATAAATATTTTTAAGAATAAATTATATTCCAAAGACAGACTTCTTATAAGCCATGCTCTGTGATCATGATGCACTAAAATTAGAAATTAAATATCAAATAATTACCCAAAAGAAAATTTACCATGTAGAAATTTTAAAATTTCATTTAAATAATTCTCGTATCAAAACGAAATCAAACCAAACTACATTTAGAAATGATGAGAGCACACTGAAAACCTGTGATATGGCCAAGTCTAGAGGAAACTTTAAAGCTTAAGTGTATATACGAGAAAATAATAAATACTGGGAAAAACTGAGATAAGAATAAAATTCAAAAAGCTACAAAAAGAACAAAACATCACTAGATCTAATAAGAAAGTAATACAGAAATAAGTAGAAAATAGTGAACCATAACACAAACAGAAGATAATCAGCAGAATCAAAGGTAATAATCTGACTGCCAGGTTCTGCCCAGGGTGGAGTTATCAACAGGTGTGGAAACAGAGACGAACCTCCCTGAGACAGGTACAAGGGAAAGGCAGGACCAAAGAGACTTCATAGCTAACCCCACAGGTCCCAGAATCCTATATTTCTTAAGCCTTCAGTTTATCAATAAAGGATAGCTCTTTTTTTTTTTCCCTCTTTTGGCCACATCATGTGGCTCATGGTATCTTAGTTCCCCGACCAGAGGTTGAACCCAGACCTTGGTAGTGAAAGCATCGAGTCCTAACCATTGGATCTCCATGGAATTCCCAACGAGCTCAACTTTTTTTTTTCCTAAGCAAATCCTTTGAGAAGAAACCTAAAATAAATTTGTTTTGTTTTATTTTAAAAATAGAAGACACAAATAAACCATATTAGAGGAAGGAGGCAGATATTGATATGGTACAAATTATACTAATTACACTTAGGTTTGGCTGCAAACAGAAGACCAAATTTTAAAAGTCTTAAGAATTTTTTTCTCACAAAGAGACTCTAAGAGACAGTACAAAACCAGGCAGCTCTCTTCCCTGTAGGCCTGGAAGATGCAGGCTCTGTCCTGTTGCTCTGCCACAGATGGCCTCCATTTGTAGGGTCACACTATGATCAAAAATGTATAACAGCAAATATGAAGGAAAAATGGATATAAGAAGTGGCAAAGGAAGATTTCCAAAAGCTCCCATATGACAGTTCTGCTCACACCCTATTGGACAGAACTACTCATATGGTTAAACCTAGCTATAAGCAAAGCTAGGAAATGGCATCAGTGTGTCCAACTAAAAGATCTATTAATATGGAAGAAGGAAAATACAGCTACTGCGGAAACAAAAAAATCTGTGCCACATCAATTACATACAGTATTTATGCCTACATATCTGAAATTTTAAGTAAGATTAATTATATCCTAAGAAAATAAAATTAACAAAAATTACTTAAGAAAGAAAAGATCTCACACAATGTAAAGCAATGTTCTCCTCAACTAATGAACCAACAAGCTCTGGAGCCCACACGACACAACTAGAGAGTCTATGCACCTCGAAGAAAGATCCTGAATGAAGTGACTAAAACCTGATACAGCCAAATAAATAAATAAATATTGAATGAAAAAAAAAAATTTTTTTTGGCCATGCCACAGGGCTGCTGTGTTCTCAGTTCCCCAACCACAGATAAAACACAGGCCCAGCAGTGACAGCACCAGGTCCTAACCACTGGATGACTAGGGAATTCCAGGCACAAAAGGACAAATATTACAGTTCCATTATATGAGGTTCCTAGGATAGACATATTCATAGAGACATAAAGTAGAACAGATATTAACATGGGCTAAGGGAAGAGTTGACTCATTGGAAAAGACCCTGATGCTGGGAGGGATTGGGGACAGGAGGAGAAGGGGACGACAGAGGATGAGATGGCTGGATGGCATCACCGACTTCATGGACATGAGTTTGAGTAAACTCTGGGAGTTGGTGATGGACAGGGAGGCCTGACGTTGCAATTCATAGGGTTGCAAAAAGTCTGACACGACTGAGCGAATGAACTGGACTGAACTGAACTGAACTGAAGGGTAGTAGAGGGAGTTTTTTTTTTAATGTGTACAAAGTTTCCATTTTGGATGATGAAAAATTCTAGAGGAGTGGAAGAAGCTCCTATGTTATTTTAATTTTTGATCAGCATGGATTATTTTTATAATCAAAATAAATAAAATATCTTACAAGTTAACAGATAGCTCAAGAGGAGTTTACAATACTGCTCAAGATCCACAGCATCCTGACAAGGCAAAGCCTACATCCTAATGAAACACAGCTGTGAACTCTGCAGTGAAACTGACCTTCAACAAAACAATATGAGAAAAACCATGGCATCACTCACCTTGAACACTTCAGAGAAGAAGCCAGACCCTATTTTTTCACAGGTGAAGTCATCTAAACGTGTCAGTCTGGAAAAGGCACTTATAAGAGCTCGATATGAGGAGGGCCAAATTCTTCCCACTTGGGTCATGTTCCCATCCCCTCCACCACCTCCTTCAAAATCCTCAAGACGCTCCACACGTGGAGGAAATCCTGCAAATGAATTCCGTTTGCTCCGATCCATAATCTTCAATAATCACTTTTTTCTTCTTTTAAGAATGAATTCCATACATAATAAGTTTTTATTGAGTTTTACTTCTCTTCTGGCTTGACACTAAACAAGAGATCAAAATAACATTTCATTAAAACCATTAATAAAAATTAAACACATGCATACAGTAAACTATTAATGTAAAAGTATTGCCTCTCTTATATTCTAGTTACTGATTTTCAGATCTAAAAAACACTTCATGCCTTTACCTTCAAAAAACAATGATATAGCCATGATTTATTGAGCACCTACTATCTAAGAAACAGTATGAGAGTTGTACATATGTTATGTCATTTGATTCTCAAGTAACCCATGATACAAAGATTATAATGCTTATTTTGCAGAGAGGTCAAACAATCATACAGTCACTAAATGACAGAGATAAAACTAAAATGCCAGACTGTCTGATTCAAAAACTTGTACTCTTGCCAAAGCCCTTCACAGTCTCACATAATTTTCTCTTCATTTGAAAAAGTCAAGTTCAAATGTATAAAACAAAGATGACAAATATTTTACACTTTAAAACTATGTAATTTTAAAAGAAAAGAACTATATCCAAAGGCAATTTAAAAACCCACTCTTGATTAAACAACCCAGTCTAGTGGAAATGACTACAGAAGGCTCTACCACTCTGGTACCTGACTAAGAATAAAAACAAAAGCCCACTTTTTCTTTTAGTCTGTCTCTACTACTTTTTTCCACAAGAATCAATTATATTTAGGTTTAATTAATCCATTTTGAGTTTAGTTTTGTGTTTTGTGTTAAAGAATGTTCTAATTTAATTTTTTTTTTACATGTAGCTGTCCAGCTTTCCCAGCACTTATAAAACTCTTAGAGGAAAATATAGGCAGAACACTTGACATAAATTATAGAATTACTTTTTCAATCAGTCTCCTAGAATAATGGAAATAAACAAATGGGACCAAGTTAAATTGAAAAGCTTTTAAACAGCAAAGGACATCATTTAAAAAAAAAAAAAGAAGAAGAAGAAGAAGACAACCTACAAAATGGGAGAAAATATTTGCCAACGATGCAATGACTAAGTGATTAATCCCCAAGATTTACAACAGCTCATGCAGCTCAATTAAAAAAAAAAAAAAAAGGGCAGATCTAGACAGATATTTCTCCAAAGACATACAGATGGCCAAAAAGCACAGGAAAAGATGCTCAACATTGCTACTTATTAGAGAAATGTAAATCAAAGCTACACGATATCAGGCTTCCCTGGTGGTTCAATGGTAAAGAATCTGCCCACCAATGCAGGAAATATGTGTTTGAACCCTGATCCAGGAAGATCCCATATGCCGTGGAGCAACTAAAAGCTGTTCTACAACTACTGAGCCTGTGTTCTGAGGTCTGGGAGCTGCAACTACTGAGTCCATGTGCTGCAACTACTGAAGCCCAAGTGCCCTAGAACCCATGTTCCACAACAAGTGAAGCCACTGCAAAGAGAAGCCCTTGCACTGCAACTAGAGTAGACCCTGCCTACTGCAACTAGAAAACCTGTGCAGCAACAAAGACCCAGCACAGTCAAAAATAAACAAATTTAAAAAAAAAAAAAAAAAAATATATATATATATATATATATATATCACCTCACACCAGTCAAATAAATACTGGAGAAGGTGTAGAAAAAAGGGAACTCTCCTGTACTGTTGGTAGAAATGGTACAGTCACTATACAGAACAGTACGGAGGTTCCTCAAGAAACTAAAAATACAGCTACCATATGATCCAACAATTCCATTCCTGGGATTTTTCCTCGAACCTGAGAAAACCATGGTTCGAAAGGATACATGCACCCTAATGTTCATTTCAGTGCCATTTACAATAGCCAAGACATGGAAGTAACCTAAATATCCATTGACAGATGAATGGATAAAGATGTGGTACATAAATACAATGGAATATTACTCAGCAACTAAAAAGAATGAAATAGTGCCATTTGCAGCAACATGGATGGACCTGGAGGTATCATACTAAATGAAATCAGACAGAAAAGACAAAGTTTCATGTGGTATCTCTTATATGCAGAATCTAAAAATATGACATAAACAAACTTATTTACAAAACAGAAACAGGCTCTCAGACAATGAACTTATGGTTATCAGAGGAGAAGGGGGAGGGAGAGGGATAGATTGAGAATTTGGAATTAACATGTACACACAGCTAGGTTCAAAATAGATAACCAATAAGGACATACTGTACAGCACAGAATACTCTGTAATTCCCTAAACAGGAAAAGAATTTGAAAAACCATACACACATGTATATGTATAACTGAATCACTTTGCTACACACCCAAAACGAATACAACATTATTAATCAACTATATTCCAACATAAAATAATAAAATTAAAATTAAATTAGTACTGAAAAAAACTCTTAAAAAAGAATCAATTATAAGAGTCCTATGCAAAATATTACATTGTGATCCTACAATTAGTGAAATGCTTTTGTAAATGCTATGAATACCTAACTCAGACTACCTCTACCAACCTCCAATCATGGAGAAATAGTGGCAGGGCTCACAGGACCATCCTTACACTATGCCCCTGCTATAGCGAAAGCTGGTGGCCTTCTACCCAATATGGACCAATCACATTTTCTTTCCTGGCAATTTGGAATTGGAATTAAGATATTCCAGCTTCAGTCTGGCTGCTTTCTAAAATGAAAGCAATGTAAACTCAGGAGATGTTGTCCATGTCCATTTTCTATCAAGCAGCCTTGAAGGCAGAAAAAGCCAAGGGATTGGGCCAATTTGTAAAGAAAAAAAGACAGAGACAGCAAGAACTTGTTGATTTTCCTAATGTGCTCTATCTAGTCCCTGATTCCTGAGGCCTAACTGCATGCTGGCTTAAGGTTTCACGAGCTATCCCTGTATCTTTAAATTACTTTTGCTTAAGCTAGTTTCACCAGTCTTCATAAAAAGAAGAATAATCCAAGTTCCTAAAGTACCTCTATTGAACTTCTGCCAAGAAGTGGCAACAGATCACCAGTTCAAAAATTTAGCATTATAAGATCAACATTTTTTAAATTTTACAGGCAATAGAGACCATAAAGTTCATTTTATATTTGAAGAAACACAAGGACCAGAAAATGGAAATTATGTGCCCACAGCTCTAAGTTATTTACTAGCAAAGCTAGACATGGAATCAAGGATAGTGCATCTCTAAAAGTTGATCATCTGCTTCCAAATTACCCAAGGACTTTGTTTAAAACTCAGATTCCTGGGTCTCAGCCTTGACCTACTACTCACTCTTGGAGTGAGGCCTGGAAATTTCACCAAGCTTCCCAGAAATTCTTATATGCACTAAGAGCTGAAGATCCTCTACAGCAAGCAAGGGGAATATTAATAGCTCAAAAAAAAATTTTTTTTTTAAACCACCAAGAATTTCACAAGCATTTTCTCATTTAATCCTCAAAATATACCACCAGGTAGGTGTATTTTGAGGATTTTTTTGAGGATTTTCCCCAAGTTACAGAAAAAGAAATGTAGGCTCAGGAGGTAAAGTAACTTGTCTAAGGAAAAACAGCTAGTAGAATCAGTACTGTAATCAAGGTCCACCTAGCACCAAAGCTCAAGCTTTCTCCATTTCATTATTACTTAGTTCAGTGTTTTTTCCACTAAGAGAGTTAAAAGGAGTTAAGCTAGTCATCTGTACAGAAAAGAAAATCAGGACTTGAGTGCAGAAGAAGGCCAGGCTGATTACTATTTAGATAGAGATGGAAAACAAAAAGAAACTTTAGAAAAATACAGAACGGGGGAAAATATTTTCAAAACAAAGCAACTGACAAGCAATTAATCTCCAAAATATACAAACAGTTCATCCAACTCAATAGCAAAAAAAAAAAAAAAAAACCCAATCAAAAAGTGGGCAGAAGATCTAAATAGACATTCCTCCAAAGAAGACATATAGATGGCCAACAGGCACATGAAAAAATGCTCAACATCACTATTAGAGAAATGCAAATCAAAACTACAATGAGATATCACCTCACACGAGTCAGAATGGACATCACCAAAATGTCTACAAACAATAAATGCTGGAGAGGATGTAGAGAAAAGGTAACCCTCCCATACCCTGTTGGTGGGAATACAAATTGGTAGAACCACTATGGAGAACAGTATGGAGGCTACTTTAAAAACTAAATATAGAACTACCATATGATCCTGTAATCCCACTCCTGGTCATGTACCCAGAAAAAATTAAAATTTGAAAAGATATATGCACCCCAATGTTCATTAAAGGACTATTTACAATAGCTAAGACATGGAAGCAACCTAAACATTCATTGACAGAGGAATGGATAAAGAAAATGTAGCATATGTACACACACACACACACACACACACACACACAAAGGAGTATTACTCAGCCATAAAAAAGAAAGAAAGAATGCCATGTGCAGCAAATGGATGCACCTGGAGATATCATACAAACTGAAGTAAGTCAGACAGAGAAAGATAAATATGATATCACTTATATGTGGAATCTTAAAAAAAAGAGAAAGATACAAGTGAACTTAATTATAAAACAGAAATAGACCCACAGATATAGAAAACACATTTATGATTACCAAAGGGGAAAGGTGGGAAGGGATAAATTAGGAGCTTGGGATTAACAGATATATACTGCTATATATAAAACAGATAATCAGTAAGGGCCTACTGTATAGCACATGGAACTATATTCAACACTTTTTAATAACATATAAGGGGAAAGATTCCTAAACAGAATAGAGATATATACAGGTATAATGGAATTACCGTGCTGTATTCCTGAAACTAATGCAATACTGTAAATCAGCTATACTTTAATAAATTTTTTAAAGAAAAAAAGATATATATGCCCCAATGTTCATTGCAGCACTATTTACAATAGCCAAGACATGGAAGCAATCTAAGGCCTTCAACAGATCAATGGATAAAGATGATGTGGTATAATGTTCAATTTAAAAAAAGGGTATAAA